GGGTCGGCCCAAACCCGCGATGATCCGCCCGCATGCCCAGCCCTAATTAAATGCATTATATTATGTGGCTTTTTGCCTGTTCCTGTCCTGTCTGCATGCTCTATTAGCCTTTTCAGCATTAAAACTCGATCGCATTCTTTAGAGGCTTGTTCGTTCGAGCTGGCTCACACAGTACTGATAGTAGTCAGGCTGCTGAACAAAATTTACAGTGACATTCCCATAGTGTCGTCACCAGGCGGGTCGGGTAGATTAGATTACCCAACTTAAGACTTGTACATATTATGACAAATATGCTCAATTACATTCACTTTAACAGATGTGTTCACAAGGATTCAGTTGATGACTGACTCATGAAGTTAAGAGCATCAACTCCTTCGGATATTCAACGACCAAACGAAAAGTACTCGCACGAAAACATTACATCATAGTATTATCTTCAGGCTCACCCAAATGTCACTACTAATGACACCGCCATCAAAGGAAAGGGACGTGGGACTCGGATAGAGACATGCATAACAGGCTCAAACAGGGAAAAACCATAATTGTCATTTCATTTCCTCATAGAATCAACAAATCCACGAGACTGACTGACCGAGACCAGTGGCGTTGCGGCCAACTATATGCAAATGCAATCAACCAGAATACAAAAATACAGCTGTATATTATGAGTTTTTACTAAAAACAACCAAAACTCCCGACGAACTTCGTGATGCAAAAAAGTTCACCAAAAGGAAGCCTCCCTCTGATTATCTGACACGACTGACCCAGACCCTCTTCTTTCGTTATAACTGCCATTGCTGATTTGGCCAGACGGACACTGCACTCCCAACCTCCGACTCCTTGTGGACTGACACTTTACTCTAATGACCGACCGACCGACCAACTGAGGCACCTCTTGATCGACCCATGAGAGGACGCTGGACCAGACTCCGACGACACAAGGTGCCCTGATATACTGTGACTTCAACCCCCACAGTTCTTAACCACCATCACAACTTCAACATCTTGACACACTTAAGCACCTGCAGTGTTTGTAGAACTCAACCCTTTTATGCACAATTCAGGAGATCAAGGATTACTACAAAATTAGAGGTGGCAAATGTCAACCCATCCCAACCCACTCGCTTAAAACCATCTAGTCCCAAGTCCATTTGACACAAATGACAAATCCATTAGGTTGGGTTGATGAGTTTATGCAAAACTGACATTTAGATCTAAATAAGAATCCTGCATTTTAGAACCTAGATTTTCCCATATACAGGTGACCTTTAGCGTAAAATAAAGTTTAATAACCATATATTTTGCGCCTAACATTTCAGCACCTAAGCTTTCAGAAGTTTACAGGCTAGTCAAAAAACTAAATCCAACTTCTATTCAGTCAATTCAATTGACAATGATCCACCAACCAATTAACCAGAAAAACATTTAAACCCAACCCCGCGAACACAGCAAACCATTCCATTCCATTTGATACCTCTAGTTAGATTCATGCATTTGCTTTAAAGCATAATCGCAACATACCTTCAATTGAAGTTGAAACCGCCAGGAGGGATGTCATTTCCGCCAAACTGAAAACCCGGCTGGGTAGTAGCATCACCAGAAGGTAATGTCTCGTCCTCTTCCTCCAACCAATAGGTCTCCAGAATCTTAACTGCCTTCTCATAGATCTCATTGTTATCATGGCTCTGAAGATTCTCAATCTTTTCAAGACCCTCCGCGTCATCAATAGCCTGAGCAAATAAGTTCACTTCAGTATGTCCCAAATTCTTCTCGGACTCCCCAACCTTCAATATATTCTCTAGTCCTTCGAGACAAACTGTGACAATTCTTGGATCAGGGCAAACAAGGAGATCACACAACGGTTTTATACACCCCTGGCTCACCAGAAACCTAGCAACCATAGATAGAGTTAATTATAGGTTTTATGAGAATAAAAAACAAACAGACACAGTTCCAATAAACACTTAAAACTTTTAGAATCGGAATAAAAAACAAAGTAACATACTTGATTTGATCATGGGTACCACCAGAAGTAGCATTAGAGAGCGCCCAAGCAGCTTCTTTCTTTATGTCAAACTCGGCATTTACAAGCAAGTTAACCAAAGGGCCTATCAGATTAGCTTCAATCACAGCCTGTTTCACAACAATCAAATGGTCCAAAGTGAGCACTCTAATCACAAATACCAAGCAATAATAGGAACCAGGGTTGTAAGAGCTTTGAGGAGACAGAGTTAGTTATTTTTGCAATAATTAGGCAAGTTCACACTTCTATTTTCTTATAAAATAATTAGTGAATTATGAGCGCCAAATTTACTTGAATCTGTTCCTTGTTTCCAGCTGTAATGTTTGAGATGGTCCAGCACGCTTCCTTCTTAATGCTCTTCTTCAAATTCAGATTCAACAGGTTGAGAAGGCAGGGGAGTGCGCCATGACTAATTATACACTGCAAACAGGGAACTTGTATGTGTTAATTTAAGAGAACAATAAGTAACTCTATGTACAAAAAAAAAAAAAAAAGGGATTGGACCTATACAGCCAGAATAGATATGCTAATAAAAATTCTTGATTGATTGAGCGAGTGCATATCGTTACATATAAATTCTTTGAACATGCATTTTAAGCGAACAAACTTTACTGCCATTCTAAAACTACGATGTGAAAGTCCATCAAAATCCAACAATATATTCAATACAGTTCTACAAGGTTTGATGACAGTAACTATAATATGTAAATAGATTTTGTTACCTGGGTCTGAGAATCATCTCCTGTTACAATGTTTCCAACTGTGCGAAGGGCTGGAACAAGCACTGAAGGTGATTGATGGCTACAAGGTTCAAGTAAACCAAACCATAAGTCGACATTGTTATTCGGACAGAAGTAAAAGGCCAAACTTAAATAGAAATAACAAAACTCACAGGAGAAGCTCAATAAGCCGTTGGCAAACACCAGTCTCGATCACAGCTTGTATTTTATCGTTTGTACCATCAGAAAGATAGGATAGCGCCCAACATGCATCAGTAAGGACTTCCTCATCAGACGAGTACACTAGACGCTCAAGTGCAGGAAGTGCTGGCCTCACCTGCCAGATCAACTTCTATTAGTTCGAAAACTAGCAAAAGCATTCCACGTAAACATAAAAGCCTAAGTACTGCATTGAAGCCCTATACTAACCTGTTCAAAAGGAGGCTGAGGCTTTCCCCTGCAGAAGTTTGATAATGTCCACGTAGCATTCCTCAGCATGGAAAGCTTAGCATGCTCGTTCAATTGAGCCAGAAGAGGCAACAGTGCATTATGACTCAGAACAAGGTCACGACATTTCGGGGAATCACCAGCAACATTTCCCAAGGCCCACACAGCCTTCAGTTCCAACAAGGTAAATCGTAAGTTTCACTTTCTTGACTAAAATCAGCACTCAGAATATAAATTTTAGGATGGCAAACCAATACCTGCTCCCGAACATCATCGGTGGCTGAACCAAGAAGCTGAACAAATATTGGAACAGCACCATGGTCGATCACCACTTTGGTATTCTCAGAGGTCCCAGAAGCAATGTTTGTCAAAGCCCAAGCAGCTTCAAACTGCAACAGGCTCGAAATCATGTTATTTCAACTCTTAATGCCCTCCCATAAACACCTCTATGCATAAAATACAGTGCTGTCAATCATGATTCAGTAACATACCTGAAGCTGGGGAAAGTCCTCCCTGACTAGAAACTCAACAAAGCGAGGAACAACACCAGACTGAATAACCTCCTCAATAGGAGGACTCCTTTCTGAAATCATCAATTCCACATACATACACACATATCAGTAACAACTAACAACCGGCATTACATGCCACAGACAAGGCAAAACGAAAGAATCCAACTACAAAAGACAAAGAGGAGTACCAATGGAAAGCAGCTTTCTGAACTGAGTGGTGGCTTCGAGCTGCAGAGTACTATTATCCGAATTAACACCAGCAACCAGAGAAGGCAAGCTTTCCAACTGCACATTGAACAAGAAATTCAATTAAGCATCAGAGATCATCACCGGAACTGAAATCGAGTGCTTAAAAACGCAAAATGATCTCACAACCGCTGCTCTCAAAACCCTAACTCCAAGAACAAAAACTAAACAGCACAGAGGCTGAAATCGCACTATCCACAACAATACGAAGTCGAAACAAGACTCGTTTACCTTCTTCTCCATAGCACCGGGGAGAGCCGCCGGCTGAGGCTGGAGGCCTTCACGCCGCCTCTTCATCAAGCTCTCCTCGCGCTTGTTCTTCCGGATCTCCACCATGTTGTCCTCCCTCCTCCTTCGGCCTTCGTCGGCATCGACGGCGACCTTGTACTTGTTGCGGCGATTCTCGTTCTTGTTGTTGTTTGGCCTCAGCGACATGGCTCGCGCGACTGGAACAACTTCTAAGGCTAAGTTCTGATGGTGCAGAGGGCGGGAACGAGGAATGAAGCAAAGACTGAATCGGAGTGGTTTCAAGAAACCCTAGAGGCTGGAGGGAGGGAGGGAGAGAGAGAGAGGGAATTACTTGCTTTTGAGTTCGGGAGACCGCAGACAGTGACTGTAGACGGGAAAGTCGGGGAGGGATAGAAATGAGAATGGGAGGGAGAAGTTTGATTTTATTTCCAGTTGGTTTTTTACAGTTTTACGCGACGGGGTCGGGGAGGGATTTGTTTAGGGGTCGTTTGCTTCAAGGATTTGTATCATGGATTTGGTACTAAAAAACTAACTATCAAGGATTTACATACAATCCTTTGTTTGCTTGGTTAAAAAAAGTTGAAACAAATCCATGGACCCCACAGATTTAGGTTTTTTCCCCCTCCAAATCCGTGGGGCCTACAGCTTTACAAATCCCACATGATTATTAGGGAATTGGTGATGTGCTGAAAAACCAAGAGGCTAATTGACACTCCTATCCTCATTCTTTTTCATTAAACCAAAATTACCCTCTTTATCCCCCAACATATCTGTCGCTTCTACTTCCCCTTCCCATTCTTTACACACCAAACCAAGAAGCTGCGAAGAGTTCTTCAGTTCCTTTCCTGGAAAATTGCAGCCCCCACCAACAGAGGAGTTCTTCGGCCAGCGTTGAGTCCGCGTAAAGCCAGCATCAACCTCCGACGCCGAACCCGAAACCCAGGTGAGCAGGACATTCCCTTCCTTGCGTTGAGTCCATCTTCTTCCGTGAGCTTTTGCAAACCATAGGAATCATATACATACAATTAACTGCTCACAATTTCCTCTCTGAGACCAACAACAAATATGCCTCTCTACAAATAATGATTGTTATGAGCAGTACTTTTCCAAGGGCGAGCAATTGAACTGCAAGAATCTTTTGTGAAGAAGCAACCAAACCAATTGGCAATTTTTGGTGCTTGTATCAGCTGCTCGTGCCATGGAGTATATTTTATGAGAAGGCTTTTGTAGCTGCTAAACAAGGAAAGAAGGGGGAAAAACAACGGCAATCTCTTCCTTTTAATGGTTAAAAAAAGGGCAATAAGGTAAATGTAGATTTTTATTTCTAAATCCCAAACCATTAAATCCATGATCAAAGTGAAGAAACAAACAAAGGATTTTTTCAAATCCATAAAGCCCCAAATCCCAAATAAAACCTTAGGTTTTTAAATCCCACATTTAAGTAAAAACCCTCATTTTACAATCCTTGAAGCAAACGACCCCTTAGTAATTAGACGGATTATTAAGCCGGTTAATGGTTTATTAATTTTTAGGGTTTCTAACGGTGAATGGTTAAAATCTGTTTGAGATTTGGTTGCTTTTGGGTTGGCTTTGTATTATTGGATTGGGCCCATTGAGTGGCCTTCTTGACATGGATTTTGATATTCTGAAAATCAACTGTCGACTCCAGCATATTCTGTTGGAGTGATGGTTGACTTGATTCTAATCGGTATTTCCTGTGGCCACGAAAAATAAATCCAACAATTTTTTTCGCTTGATTTGTGTGGATCAAGTGGTAGATAGCCATTTCATTTCTAGGTAGGTAGGATGAATTATTTTGTATGCTAGGTATTTAGCATGAACTGATATGCTAATTGATTAGTATGGTGTACTATTAACTATACAGCAAGTTTCTTTTTATGATTTTTTATATTTAAAGGGTTGATTACACTTAATTCACATTTTCAAAAGTTATAGGGGAGAACACGTGTGTGGTTCTGCTCATTCATTTTGCGTCCCGTCTTCAGCTGACCACAAACTACACGAGAAACAAAAAAAAAAAGACTATATATCTCATAAATCACACCAATAAATGTAGGAAGCATACCAATAAACTAACAAATTTTCTAAAGCATACCATGAAACTCATAAAGCTAACCACAAGTTTTTTAAAACTGACGAGAAACTTCATAAATCAAACAAAAAACCCCATAAGCTTGACCGCATGTTTCTTAAAGCATATGAGAAACTTCATAAAGTTGACCCCAAGTTTCTTAAACAGTTAGAAACCTCATAAAACTCACCACAAGTTTTGGTAAAGTAAACCAACAGCCTCATAAAGTTGGCAACAAGTTCCCTGAAGCAGACGAAAAATCTCATATTGCTTACCACAAGTTATTTGAAGCAGACCATAAACCTCATAAAGTTGAAAACAAGTTCTTTAAGCATGCCATAAATATGTGCAATCACATCAGAAATTCTCATGAAGTAGAAAAGAAAGACGAGAAACCATACAAAAAACCTCTCTAAGCCTCTCTAAGCGAACCATAAACGCTGGAAAGGATGACAAGGTAATAAAAAATAATGATGGTGAAATAATTTTTCTTTTACAAGTAACCTCCTAGGATTTTTTAGCAGAGAGGGAAGTGGGCCTGGAGGGCGGGGTCAGAGAGCAACGTGAGGAAACGAGGTGGGGGAATAAGTTACTGTTTGAACCTAACTGAGTGTAGGAGTGAGGTTCGGGAAAGAAAGTGGGTCAAGGAGAGTAAGAAATGGAAAATCAATTATCTGACGTCGAACAAAGGTATGGAAGGTTGAGAGAATTGGTGTTTTAGAGAGAGAAGTTGATGTTGGTAGAGATAGAATGCCCAAAAATGCGATCTCCTCACCCACCGTAGTAAATGCCGTATTTATAGGCTACATGGTGGTGGGTGAGTGGTTGGGTTACATGAGAGTACAATGATGTGACTACTGACACATAGGGGATTTAGGCCATGCCTCTACCTAGGACACGACAGAGACTTATGTAGGGTTGTACTTGGGACCTTGATGTGACTACTCCTCGGGAATTGCGACGACGCTTTCACCGTCTCCTTAGTCCGGTCTACGCTTTGACCCTCCCGCGTGCGCGTAGCCGTGGCGCGCCCAAGAGCTTCGCGCCGGGAAATGCCGAGGCGCCGCGCTGAAAGGACTGTTCGCGTTGGTCCCCGCCGGGACTCTTCGTAGTGAGGCGCGCTGGGTGTCTTTGGTGGCGGCGCTTTCTCCTGGCGCGGCTGGGTCCGAGTCACCTACCCAACAATTGCCCCCCATCAGGGGGTGTTCTGTGAATACCGCCTGTTCAGGTCTTCGCTTGATTGACTCGGAACCGCGTGATCTCCGTGGGGCTCCTTGCGCTTGCGGCGCGGATCGTTTGGGCTACGCGCGGCTGGAGTTGGTTTTGGGGTGTGTTATTTGACGCGCGGCGCTCGCGCTTGATGCCATACTGACCGCGTGATTGCTTCGCTTTTCTTGTGCGCGACTGGAGTTGGGCTTGGGATGTGTTTGTGTCATGCCCCCCAGGACGCGCTTGCGCTTGCTGCCATACTGCCCGCGTGATTGCTTCGCTTTTCCTTGTGCGCGACTGGAGCTGGGCTGTGCCCCCCAGGACGCGCTTGCGCTTGATGCTACACTGACCGCGTGATTGCTTCACTTTTTCTTGTGCGTAACTGGAGTTGGGCTTGGGATGTGTTTTTTCTTCCTCGCGGGTGTGTCATGCCCCCCAGGCGGTGCGCGGCACTTGTGGCGTCATCGACTATTGATTATGATGGTAGGTGTCCACGTGTAACTGTGTGAGTGGGCTACTGGGGCGGGGATTTTTTGAATTTCGAAAAGATTTTGTTGGATCTGACGGTTACAGATCCCTATGTAACTTTAACCTTTCGTTTTCCCCTGGCCGCCTTTGACCCTTCGTTTTCCCTTGGGGGACTATAAATACGGGGCTGCTGTGGTGGAGTTGGAACTCATTTGTTCTTTCTTCTCTGTCGTCTGTCTCTCCGATCATCTTTTCTCAGAGATTCTTCTCCTTCTTCTGCAACCTCAATCCTCTCTTACTGTTGCTAAAGCTCGATACATCTCTATGGCTTCTATCAACGTCGACGAGGAAGAGGTCGTGCGAGGCGAAGAAGGTAATCTCTCCCCTCTTTCGAACACTTCTACTGGTTGTTCCGGCGATGGGAACGGCGGTTCCGGCGATGGAAACGGCGGCTCTGGTGACGGGGCTGGCCGTGGTAGCGACGGGGTTCCGGAGACACCGTCGTTCGACGGCGAGTCGGAGAATGGACTCGGCGGCTCTTCTGAGATGGGGTTGGTTGGCTTCGGGAGTAGGCAAGCAGTGCAAGGAGGTCGGGGGTGTTGATAATACGACGAGACCATGGCCGTCCGGCCGAGGTTGTTGCCGATGAAGCGCGCGAGGAATCTGGTGCGCAATCCGAGACGCGCGACGTTGTGCGCGTCTCGGAGGCCATGGCTTGGTTAGGGTTGCGCGGGGTTGGCGCCGCTTATAGGGTTATCGAGTGGGCCGAAATGTGGGGCGATCAACCGGCGCCCCACGACAACCTCAAACGCGGGCCCGAGCACGCCTCCATCTACGACGTTGATGACGTGGCGGAGATAGTCCGCGGATTGGGCTTGCCTCCCCATTGGGAGTACGCTGCGCCATCTACGTGCAGCATGGTGGGCAACTGCCCCCCAGGGTGGTTTGGCGTTTATGCGGAGTATTGGGTGATGGGGTTCAAGTTCCCCATCGACCCGCTCTTGTGCGCTCTGTATAAGCGCCTTAACTGCTCTGTTGGGCGGCTTTCGCCGTCCGTCATCATGCACGCGAGCTGTCTTCGGCTCGCGTGCAAAAGGCTCAACATTCAACCAACCTACGGCCTGTTCCGGAAGATCTACAAGATCAAGGAGCCAACGACGAGGAGTGACTGTCTCTCCATCAAGCGCCGCGACAACCGTCCCGAAGGCTTTGTATATGGATCGCCCAAGTTGAAGAAAACTTGGTTTGAGCGGTTTTTTTACGTCAAGCCCACTCCCGGGGAATGGGCTAGTGGGCCGATGGATGAGCCAACTGCCTGGAAGAAGGGGAGTACGTCTGGGTACGAGGCAGATGTCGGCCACTATGACGGGCTCAATGAAGAATACGAGGCGTGCATGCCTCATCGGATTAATCTATATACGGGGGGAGTCCGCGAGGCTTGTTTGGAGGAGCTGTTTGGAGATGGTTAGTTGCATTTCTTTTCGTTTGTATTCTATCTTATTAACCGCTTTCTTACGATTTATTGGCGCAGGCGTTGACTTCTCCAGCCTTGTCAGCATGATGTCGGTTGACGATGTCATGAAGGCGCCTCGCGGCGACAAGAAGAAGAAGAAGGCTGGTGGCGCGAGGCCTTCGAAGCGGAAGGAGATCGAGCAACCGCAGGCTGCCGAAAAGCCTCGCAAGGCGGTTCGTCTGACGGAACCGGCGGCGCAAACGTCTTCGGCGGCGCGTCAGTTATCTCTGGCACTTTCGAAGCCAGAGGTGCCAGTGACTAGGTCATCTCGACCTGATAGAGAAGTGGCCGGCAGTTCGTCGGGGGCAACCATCCAGCAAAGGTTGCCCGAAATGGCTGGGTTTGGGGGTACCTCTTCCGCTACTCCACCTTCCGCTACTCCACCTGCCACTGTTGCCGCCGCCACCACTGGCATCAACTATTTCCGCGATGTGCGGATTCATACCGGGGCGGCGTGTAATCTGGCGTCTGCAAACACGGCCCTTCGGGCGCTCGGGCCCGTCCTCAGCATCCCACCGCGATTGGAGAAGTCCGATCCTCTTCATGACCTGGCTCAGGTCCATTTCGCGGTAAGATCGGGTCGATCCTCTCATTGTCTTTCTTTTTTATTTTCCTGTTATTTGCTAAGGTTCTTGGCGTTTTTGTTGTAGGGTTTGTTGGCGACCTTTAGGGCTCAACAAGAGCGCGCCTCGCAACGCGCTAAGATGAAGGCCAGCGAGGCGCAGATCGTCCAGCTGGAAGGGAAGGTCCTTGGGGCGAACAATCGTGCCGATTTGGCGACGACCAAAGCTAATGAGGCAATGTAGGAGCTCGGCGTTTTGCAGAGCAAGTTAGCCGCCGATGTTGAGGCGGCTAAGGAGCAAGTGCGAACCGAAGAGCGCTCCACCATCCGAGAGCAGCTGGCGGCATCCTTTGCCGAAAAATTGAAGCAAGCTCGCGATGAGCTTAAGAAGGAAAAGGACGATCTGGTCCGCCTTCACAATATCGCGAAGGCGGAAGCTGTTCGCGCGGCCGAGGTTGCGGCCGTC